AGGGCGGCGGCCGCTCCCGCCGCTCACGGAGGCCAGTTGATCATCCGCGACGCCCAGCCTCCGCCGCCGCAGCAGCAGTCGCAGATCTTGGAGGCCCAGCAGTTGGCTGCGGCTGTCGCCGCAAGAGAGCAGCAGGAGATGTTTAGAAGCTACGAGCACCAACAGCAGCAGGAGTTTCTACGGTTCAGTGGTGGGTTCGATGTGGGTTCGGCTTCTTCTGCTGGTGGGTTCAGCCAGGTGTCCCAACCTGCTGGTTCTGCTGATCAGTTGTCTCCTTCGTTGGCTTTGGGACACTTCGACAACGCTTATCACATGCAACAACCACAACAAGGAGACCCTCATCCTCATTCTCATCATATTCCCTTTGAGGCTCAGCTTCTTCAACTCCCTCCGCAGCAAAAGCAAGGGCAGCAACAAACCCAGCACCAGCAGTCGCAGCTGCCCCTTCAGTCTGAGAACGACGAGTGTAGGAGTGTTGGTCCATCTTGTTGATTTCCAATTTTGCTGCCGCTGCGCCTTTATGCTTTTTCATCAAACAATTTTCAGCCTAGGTATGTTTCTCTTCTACCATTGTGGGTTTCCCATTTTTATTTTTTTTTTACTTTTCATTTTTGTCCCCTGTTAATTTATTATGGCTCTTGATGTAGGCCCCTTCACGTGGGTCTTCCTATTACTTGGTGATATCTGTTTTTGAATGATTATTCCTGTGCTTTTTTGTGTGTGCGATTGTAATTATTAGCTAGCTTTTCATAACGAGGGCAATCTAGTTTGGTGGCAGGAGAAAGCAAATATCAGTCCTCGTGGTAGGAAGCAGAGGGTTGGTTAGGGGAATGGTCTTGTCAAACTGAGAGACGTGTGATCTGGTTCATCGATTATGAGGACTTTGAACAGTGGAAAATGTTGAGTGTTGATAACTAGATGAGTAAGGAAAGATAAAAAGGAAATAGAGAAAGTGATAGATGAGAATTGATATGCAAAATGAAGAGACGAAGCAGGAAAATGAAATGGAAATAATTACTCCAATTGGAGTTACTTGTTTTAACAAAATATTTTTTAATGTTTTATTTTCCATTACAAAATGTAATGTCATTTTTGAATTTTTTAGTTTTGAAAAATTTGTTTACAAAATAATTAAATTGATTTTTTTTATTAATATTTCTATCTTTTATACAAACTTCTAAATAAAACAATTTAAAAATAAGATGATAGTTTTATAATTAAAGTAAAAATAAAAATGAAAAATATTTTCTTAAACCAATCAAAAGCTTAAATTTGTCATTCCATCGGTGGTCAGGTCAAGACATTATATTATGGTGAATAACAAAAGAAATTAAGTTTACATATCTAGTTTGGAAATGTTCCAAAAAACCTATGTTATGCTGTGAAGTTAAGGTATCTTTGGGGGTGTTGCTGGAATTTGGCAATCTCTCAATTCAAGTCCTTGGCATTTGCAATCAGGTTGGCTATTCTAGCATTTATTTTTGGAATAATTGCAGTAGCCTCCTTGTGATTGCTGATTTTTACCTAATGAAAGGTAATTTGTGGAAGCCGACATGCCAGCCGAAAAACTTGTTGGTATAAATACAAGATATGTCCTATTCCGGGCAATAGGTTTGGTCTGCTTTTGTGGCATCGTTAAATAGTAATCACAACACTCTCACGTTTTATATCTTGAGAGCTTCAATACTAAGAATGAAAAACAGTTTTATCTTGATTTGCCACGAATGTTTATTGTTTCAAATAAGTTCACCATGTCTCGTTCGAAGGAAAAAAAATAAAGGAAGAAAAAAAGCAGCTACCTTTAGCAAGACGGTAGTCCCAAAGTGCTTTTTTAAGCAAATGGATAATGAAAAGCTGCTAAACTTTATGTGCCATGCATTGGTTTCATAGATTTACAAACATGCATGTAATTAATGGTTGCATCACTATTTGGCTATATTGCGTAGTCTTCCTTGGCTGTTTTAATCCCTTGAATATAATTTTTAGGGCATTAATTAATAACATTTTATGCACTAAATATATCTTTAAGATTTTCTCTGGCCCTCTTCTTCTATAGTTCTTACCTGCCGGCCGGATTCAAATGGATAGCAAGAGAGAGGGGGTGAAGCACACGTGCGAGATTCATTAATCCGCTTCAGTTTGCTTGCCTTTGAAGGAGACTACCAATGTAGAAACAACTGCAAAAGTAAGATATTCACTGATCTTGGGGATCTATTGTCTTCTTCTTTTATTTTTTCTTAAACAATTTAAAGCAGTAGCTATGCTTTGTCTCTTTTCTTTTTGTCAAAAACTAAATTGTAAATCAGAATTGTTCAGAATGCTCTTAAAGGCAAAGGCCTTTATCTCCGTCCTGTTTTGTCAAATCCTTTCTATCACCTTTAGATTTAAGTGTGGAAGAAAGATTTGCAACACACTGCTATCCGATACATTTGAGTAAAATTTACTTCTTTTTGCTTTAAAAAATGTGTTTCATGTTATATTTAACCAGTTCATTCCCTAAATATTTGACACTAATTAATGTATTGGAAGTTTATATATTTTTTTTATGTCTGGAAAATTGAACATAAAATTAGATTTTTTTTGTTTAAAAGTAAATTAAAAAATAAAAAAATTCTTTAAATTATGATTTGTATATTTAAAAGTAATTTTAGGATTGTAACTTCATATCAATTTTGTAGAATTACAAATTAATTAACTTTTTAACCAACACCTAAAAAATTGTTAATTTTACATATAAGGATTAACGGTAGAGGTTACCATCAGTATGGATAGGCATGTGTATGAATTGATGAACTTAATCAAACGCATTGAGTTTGGTAAAAACAATAAAGATTAAATATGTTTTTTTTAGTTTCTCAAATTTAAAGTATATAAATTTTGTCTCGTAAATTTAAAACTTATACTTTTAGTTCTTATAAATTTTATAAAAAAAAAAATATTTTAACTACTTGAAATTGAAATTTGTGTTTTTAGTCTTTAAAATGTCAAGAATTATTATTTTAATTTCTCAATTTGTCATTAACAACTATGATATTAGTGATTAAAATAATATTTTTAAAATTAAAGAGATTAAAAAAAAATTAATTTAAAAATTAAAATAATAATTTTAATATTTTAAAGATGAAAAACATAAATTTTAAATTTAGAGAGGACAAATAAAATATGAACATTAAATTTAAAGGGTTAAAAACATCATTAAGTCAAACAATAAAATATACCTAATAAATTTTAAAATCATCTTACTTAGCTCTTCCTTTTTTCGCTTCTCTCTCTTTTTAATTTTAAATGAATGTTTATATACTTTACATCTTTATATGACATACCGATCCAATGTGAACTATTCCAAACTTTTTTTGTTGAATTTGTTTGTTTTGAATTGACCAAAAAAATTCTCAAAAGTCAACTCGAACTAACTCATCCTTGTTCAATTGATTTGAACAATTATTTTCACAAAATCAATTTAATCAAATCTCATTAATATATATTGGTATATTAAATAAGCTTTTAATATAGTAGCTTCATTTAAATTTCAGATCTTATAGTTAGAAAAAAATTGAAGCTATTTATATAACCTAAGCATAAAATTTATTATTCTAGACTAATTATAATTAAATTAAAAATAAAAATGTAAACTGCATTTCCAGTTCCCCAGTGTAAACGTACTAACAATGCATTGCTAGAATTTCTCTTTCGGTCGAAATACTGTGGAATATTATATCGGGGAAGATATAAGTTTTGAGTTTATAAAGCTAAGAAAATTAAAATGGAGACCCTATGTTTGCTTTTACTTCCTAAAACCTCAGAAGATTCTGCATGCATACCTAACAACTATTTTCAGAATTAGATTCGTGACTGTTGTAATTCTGAGTTGTACCGTTAAGGCACTTTTCTTGTCTAGCTATTGTCTATGGGTTTTATTATATATTTTTTTTATTATAACGTGCACATTTGTATCTCGATAATATTTCATTACGTTTATTCCCCTGATGTATTTAGAACTCAGACCTAGAACCGTTCGAGTATTTCACGTCATCATAAACGAGATATTCTAGTGTATTGTAAGTTCCACCGACACACTTAGAAAAGAAAAAAAAAATAATGTTTTAAATAAAGGCTGATAGTGGCATAAAATGTCTCTGGTAAAATTTTGAAAAATCTCTAGAGAATAATAACACCGTAACACATAATAACTTTGGTTAGATGCTATAATGTGAACAAATTTTTATTTATGTTTTAATATTTAGGAGAAATTTAGCCAATATAATGTCCATAGTTCTGGGCACGATTCGTGTTTTGTAAGTATTGTGAAGGTCGCAGTTTTAATTTCATTTCGTCATGGCAATCTTTTGCTGCGTCTTCGACGGTTCCTGGAAACCATTTATTATTATTGTTATTTGCACATAGATAGATGATAAAGTCAAAAATGGCACAAAAAAGCTTCAAAGAAATACAGCTTCACGACATTCGCAACATTTTATCGTGTCATTTGTACACAACCGACAATTTTCGCTATCAAAATTAATTTTCAGGTAAGTTGACCAAATAAAAGATTATAGATATTTTTTCTTCTCTTTTCAGAAAGATTGCATGAAGTCAATTAATAAGTGTCTTTTCGTCCAATATAATATACTGTTTTGAAATATGTTATCACTCAACCGATTTCGCTAATTGACTTTGATGCGGCATGTGCTTGGGCCTAAAAGTAAGAGTTCTTTATACATTCAAGTTCAAACCATACTACGTTTTCTAATCAAGGGAGATAAATAGGAATTTTATATACAAATTATTATAGTCTGTGGATACACATGGCTTTAAATACAATGAGAAATTATACAGATGCAACGTAATTAACTTTTTCGAAATTTGTAATTGTTTTAATGTCAATTTGTGTTTTTAAAACATTAGTTAAGAAAATAAAAATAGAAACATTTCCTTATAAAAATATTTATTAAAATTGCAATTGGAAAAATAATATTTGATACTTGTTTTATAAAATATATGCATTGCAGAAAGATAAAGTTAACAACGAAGCAATTTATATATAACCTTTTTTTAACAATGGCCACTAAATTTTGTTACCACAAAATTATTGAGGGAAAAATACTATTTTCATTAAATTGGGTAATTAATTCTTTGATTTTTCAGTAATAAAAGTATTTTAAAAATTTATCTAATTATCAAGATTACTAATATAAAGAAGGTATTTTATGTTGTTAAAAAAGTATTTTACATCAATTGTACAATCGATGTAGATATTGTTGACATATAAACAAGAATAATGTCGTATATTAAGTAGAAATAATAAATAATATTAGCAATAAAAGAAAGACACTGAGAATTGGTCTTTCTTGAATAATAATTTATGTAACATCTCAAAAACATTGGAATGAAAGGGATCAAGAGACTATACAATTAAGGTGACTTACAAAAATTAATTAGTATTAACTACATCATTAACTTAGTATATAAAAAAAAATATACCATCAACATTAATATATTTTTTGATAACTCATCACTTAAAAACTTTATAGTTAAATATGTTTAACTTGAAAAATTTAGGAATTAGTAACCTTTTAAGAAGTTTCATAAGAAGTATATAAGGACAAAGTAAGTTAAAAAGTTTTATATTGATTTGTGAGTACAATCTTTGATTCTAAAAATAATTAAATATTTTATAAAAGATTTTGATCGATGAAAGATTTTGACTAATAAGTAATTATATAAAATGTTATCGTATAAAGTATAAAGTATTTGAATGACAATTGCTTAAATATCAAATCTAAGAGACTTCAAATTCTCAAATTCGATTACTTGCAATTCAATTAAATACTCAACGAAAAGAAAATTGTCTCTTAAAAAAATACACGTGATCTAAAAAAAAAAAAAAACACCCTACCGTATAAGCACCTAACCGTTTCATAGCATTATTATCTTGAATTTTTGTTCATCTAAAATAATATTATATTGTAATATTGTAATTGCTCTCTTTTGTTACTATAGACAAATTATGTATTATAATTTTGTAACAAGTTGTTGGTTTGCGCAGAAACACTCATATCCTTTTAGTAAAATCTTGACTTTGAATTCTAAGATTAAAAAAAAATGTAGTTAAAAACAAGATTGCATTATATTTTTTTGACAAATATTAGTCCTTAAGAGAGTCAATGACATTTTACGCTATAATAATACTGTAACGTTAATAGAAAGTCAAATTAATCCTCCATGGAAAAATAAAAATAAAAATCAAATTACAGGAATAAATCTATTCACGGTTAAATGATGAAATATACTACAGGGTGGCATAGGGAATTTTGAGGAAATTGCATGGAGTCGTAAGTTTCATCCTCATTTTCTCTGTGGAAAAAAAAAAAAAAGTGCATCAATAAATCAAATGATATAATGTTGTAAAATCTGAATAGCGTGACGTGGTTTTGAGTTGTCATGTTATAGCTGCTACCATATAATTTGAAGTCAAACTCTTTGGAAGTGAGTATCTGCCAACCCAGGGGAATTATGATGTCAACATATTGGAGAGAATTAGGGCATATGAATAGGAATAGGAATAGAAATAGAATGTTATGTTTCATTCCTGATTGATGTTTATTGTCTTATTCGATGGTCAAAAGGATGAATTTGATTGAAGTGAAAAAGAAAGGAAAAAAAAATGATAAAATTCGTCATAACACTAACATGGCATGGCAGTGTAGCCCCACAACGACAAGGGCACCTCTCATCTCTCATCTCATCCAATGCAATATTAATGGCTTTGGGAATCTTCGGATTCGGTGGATGCATGAATGGGTTGGACTTGGACATAAGTACTCTCACAATATTCATCTGCATTCTTCGTGGGGTCTCATCATCTGACACCAATATTATTTTTACCTTCTTATATTTTATCCATCCTTCAACCATATATAAACCCACAAAAAAGGACAAAAAAAAAGGAGAACGAACTTTGCTTTTTCAATCCTTTGTGTTACAAAAAGAAAGGGCAGGATGTGCATTTTTTATAATCCACCTGGCAAGAGTATTCCTAACTTACTCACCTTAAACTAATTTTACTTACAATACTACTCAACACCGAGTTATTTTTTCGTCATTTTAGCATAAATGAATTATTAGTGTGTATTTGAGGGAAGGATGGATTGGAGGATAATTAAAAAAGTATTTTTATTTGGGAGAAGGGATTAGTGGGTATTTGAGTGAAAAGGATAATGAATTTCATGAATTAAAAATTTATTTTTTTTTAGAATAAGAGGATTGTCTGAAATTGAGTTGGAAAAACAAATAATCTTTATATATATATATATATATATATATATAATGAAAAGAAATATCAAATAATTTTTAAATTTTTTAAAAATTTACACATTTGATTTATGAGAACTTTAAATTCAACAGTTGGATCGTTGAAATTTGATATAGAACATGAGTTATTGAATAAAATAAGTTAAAATAAACTTACTATTTCTATTTCATAAGACTTAAATACTAGTTTATCCATTTTATAATTAATAATAAATTATAGATTCAATTTTTAATATCATAATTATTTAAAAATTAAATTATAATATTTTAAAATAAATTATCAATAAATAAAAATAATTATATTACAATAGAAATCATTTATCATAAATCTAAAATATAATTTATATACTTAAAAATACTTTATTCAAACTTTGTATATAATTTATATATTAAAAAATAACACATATTTATATACATAACTTATTTTAATTTTTAATTATATATAATAAACATTTAACATGTACATTACACGGACTAAATTACGAGTTTGTTATACTATTTTACTTGTAATCTTTTTAACAATATTATTTTTTTGAAAACAATCTAAATTTAAATAATATAGTAACTGAAAATCATTTGCATTTGAAACTTATCGGTATATTTAAATGAATAAAAAGACAATTTTAGAATTTAATAACATTTATTTTACATTAAAATAGACTTTAGTCACGTATAGTTAATAACATTTATTTTAGGCTTAAAAGTCAAAGTATTTATAGTTAAATATTAAGAAATTATATGTTTAACATAAGTTTTATATAACATATATGGCGGATAATCTTTTAAATTTAAAATATGTAATAAAAAAACTTTTGATATTGAAATATGTAATAAATATTTTATTACTTTACTTGATAAAAATTATAAACTTAATGAAACAATTAAAATATTAAAATTTGAATATTATAAGCTGATTAAATTCTATATTGATAAATATTTGTTTTACATAAATATCAATGTTTTAAAAAAAATTATTCATTAATTTTACTTAGAATTAAAAGAAAATCAAATGAATTACGAAATAAAATCATACTTATATTATTCAAATTTAGAATCATGTGTGGATATTACATTATGAAAACCAATCAAGTGAAATTTCAAGAAAAATTAATTTTGACTACACATAAGATTTTAAATATTAATGATAATTTAAATAGTGAACAGAGAGAAATGTTTGTTAAATATTTGGATAAAATCAAATAACATAATTTGATACTTTTTTATCTTATGTATTTTTTACTGGAGTTAAAGACCTGTAAATGGAGGCAGGGTTGATGAGAGTAGCAACGAGATAGCAGTAAAATGAAAACCACATGAGAATCAACTTCAATATCTACGTGATGACTGTTCAAACCGAGAGCAAGGTTAAACCAATAATGCCATAATGGAGCCTCCCAAAGTTGAAGGCTCAGCATTAGTCGCTGTGTAACCAACCTTGTTACAAGAATGAAGGAAACAAATGGATAAACCTTCGGTTAAGTACCATAGGTACTGTTGGTACCATTTTCAAATTAAAGTTGAATTTTCACCTTAATAATATATATATATATATATATATATATATATATATA